GGCTGAAGGGGGCTGAGGCTGAGGCAGAGGCAGGCTGAGGCTGGGGCAGGCGGAGGCTGAGACCGAGGCTGAAGGCAGACTGATGCTGAGGCTGAAGCAGGCTGAGGCTGAGGCTGAGGCTGATGCTGAGGCAGGCTGAGGCTGAGGCTGAGGCAGGCTGACGCTGCGGCAGGCTGAGGCTGAGGCTGAGGCTGATGCAGGCTGGGGCTGAGGCAGGCTGAGGCCGAGGCCGACGGCAGACTGAGGCTGAGGCTGAAGCGGGCAGAGGCTGAGGCAGAGGCAGGCTGAGGCTGAGGCTGAGGCACGCCCAGGCTGAGGCAGGCTGAGGCTGAGGCTGAGGCAGGCTCAGGCTGAGGCAGGCTGAGGCTGAGGCCGAGGCTGCAGGCAGACTGAGGCTGAGGCTGAAGCAGGCTGAGGCTGAGGCTGAGGCTGATGCAGGCTGATGCTGAGGCAGGCTGAGGCTGAGGCTGAGGCTGATGCAGGCTGAGGCTGAGGCAGGCTGGGGCTGAGGCCGAGGCCGACGGCAGACTGAGGCTGACGCTGAGGCAGGCCGGGGTTGAGGCAGGCTGAGGCTGAGGCTGAGGCTGAGGCAGGGTGAGGCTGAGGCAGGCTGAGGCTGAAGCCGAGGCTGAAGGCAGACTGATGCTGAGGCCGAAGCAGGCTGAGGCTGAGGCAGGCTGAGGCTGAGGCTGATGCTGAGGCTGAGGCTGAGGCAGGCTGAGGCAGTGACTGCGACTGCCGTTCCCGCTGCGACTGTCATCGCGAATGCGATTACGACTGCGAGAACAGCAGAATTCTACAACTGGATTCTCATCTGAATATTAAGGGGGATGCTTCCAGATATGCTCCTACACATCGCTGTTCGGTTGCTTTTGCCAGGACATTTTTGTCGCAAGCGGGATCAGTCCAAGGCGAAAAATATTAAGAACCGTAGCGCCCCGCAGATGCGAGTAAGAGTGAGGGGATGGTAGTGGCGTCGGCAACTTGCGACGCTCTGAAAAAGCTCGCCGCGGGCGCCACAGTTTCACGCATTATAGACTGAGCCCGCCGCAGGCGCTTATTTCTTCTTCAAGCCAATGTGGGTCGGTCGCGGGCGCGTCGCGTGGTGGGTCGCGGGTGGGCCGCGGGCGGGTCGCAAGCGGGCCGCAAGCGGATCGCAATCGGGTCGCAGGAGGGTCGTGGATGGGTCGCGGCGTGGGTCGCGGGTGGGTCGCGGGGTGGGTCGCGGGCGGGTCGCGGGTGGGTCGTGGGGTGGGTCGCGGGTGGGTCGCGGGGCGGGTCGCGGGTGGGTCGCGGGGTGGGTCGCGGGGCGGGTCGCGGGGCGTGTTGCGGGGCGGGTCGCGGGGCGGGTCGCGGGTGCGTCGCCGGGGGGGGGGGGGCGACGACAACAAACAACAACACCAAAAACAGCAACAGCGCAACAAACATACTTTCCACCACGGGTTCCGACTTCAGCCACGCACCCGGGGGCAATGCATGACCGTTCGGCCCTTTCACTCTGATCATTACACATCCGCAGTTTCGGAGGGGCCTGCGCCAACGTGGCACAACGCGTATTTCAGGGCGTTGGTGGTGCGCATCTACCTGGACCAGGGGGTGCCCCTTTGGGGAAATGTCCTCAACGCCGCGGCGTCGCACGTCCACCTTGCTCTAGCCATCCAAAATTCTGGCGCGACGGAACTCCATGAGTTTACCACGGATTCGTCGCGCACGTCGCGGAATCGAACGTCAAGGTATGCATGGGGTACCTCAACATGTGCATGTTCCAGCTTGTGTCCTGGTGCCGCAGTCGCGGAATCGTTGTGGACGTCGCCGCGATAACCCCGTGACTTGCAGCAGGCGGCCAGCCTTCGGCAGACAGCATGTCGATGATGTTCATACATGGCCCTGGGGAATACGGGCATAATCATGGCCTGGGCGCCTTGCGCGACAGCGACAGCGGGCCCTTAACGAACCTGCGCGGCCCATCTTCCCAGGTTGTCGATCACGCGAATGGGCCCTGGGAAATGCTGGGGGCTTACTCGCCCCAGGCTGGGGGCGGCGTAGACAAGCTTCGCGAGTTCCTGGCGTCATCTGACGCCTCCGCGGCCGCAGTTGTGGACTTCGCGCGGGAGATGTCGCGCGCAACGCGCGGCGTGTGGGCGCCCCGCCCTGTCAAAGTTGGGCAGGGCAAGGTGGGCGACAAGATTTGGCACGGCTCCGCCGGGAAGACGCGAAACGGCTGGCATTTCTCCTGGGCGGTCTTCACCCACAACGCATGCCGCAGGTCCCTTTAAACACTCGCCAGGGGGAGCGAGAAGAGAGAGCAGCAGGGATAACGAAACGGCGACGCGAAGGGCGGCAAGAAGGGCGGCGACAAAGACACCGCAGTTGCTGGGAAGGGCGCCCTGACTATTGTTCCGAGGGGAACCGCAGTTGCGGGTAGAAACGCTGAGGTTGAGCGACATTGGACACCGCAGTCGCCGCAGGCTGCCAAAGGCGACGATGCGACCACTTCTTATACCGCAGTGGCGCTGCGGTCCTGTGCCGCCAGCGGCAGCGGCGCGCGGGAGGCGGAGGATCCCTTGACGGGAACGCGCGATGGTTCGGAATGGGGCTGTCGCTGGGCGGGATGACGTGTTGATTGGCGGGGGTGGTGGCATGATGATCGCGACGCAGTTGTGGACAGTGCCACGGAGGCTCGCCTCCTGAGCGTATACGCGCGTGGGCGGGCCTGTCCGACCAGACGCGCAGCGCGGGCTCCTGGGGGCGGTCGGGCGACCGCGCCCCGCGGAGTTACGCTTCGCACCGTTGGTGATGGCCACAGTTGCGGGCAGATGCAGCAGGGCGCTGGTTGCCGCGATTGCGGACAGTGCTTCGTCAGGGCAGGTTGGAAAGGTCACCATCGTCATCATCATCCTCAACGTCATCATCATCATCATCATCAGCATCATCATCATCGTAATCATTATCATCATAACTATCAACATACGAATATTCAGCACCAGAATTATCATCGCTATCATTCCCACCAACACATCAGCATCAGCATCATTTTCATCATTCTCATCATCATCACCAGTCTGCTCATCATTATTCTTCAGCTGCTGCCCCCGATGTTGCGTGCGCGGCCTGCCCTTGTGAGCAACGCAAGGGCATTGCCTGGGAGCGTTCCAAGCAGTGCCTGGGAACTGGTTCGAAAAGTTGCCGGATCTCCCTTGCCATATGGGCCTGAGCCCTTCGCCGGGACAGTTAGCCCACGTTCCAGCCCCCCTCCGAGAGAGGAGGGGGCCGACGCCGCCGCTTCGCCCCACCGCGGGGGCAGCTGGCAAATTTCACTCTCCACGTGCATGTTGGCGCCATGTCCCCAGCCCCCCCACCGTCCTCCTGGTCCTGCTGCTCTTCTGACCCTCTTACCCATCCCAAGCGTCCTGGTCATTTTCACGCGCGGGCCTTGTAAGCTGTCGTCTCTGGGGCCAGGCCGGGCCGTGTTCGAGAGTCCTGGGATCCAGAGGCGGCCCCGGGGTGTCTGACACTGCGGGGGAGCCGAGGTCACTGAACAGATCCAGTCGCCTCACGGTCACGCCGGGGCCGGCTAAGCTCCAGCAGGGGGCGCACCGAGCCACAATCGCCCGTTGAATGCCGACAGGGGCCCGATAGCCCACCCCGCCCAGGACCATGCGGATTTGCTATCGGGGGCTGATCGCCGATCGGTCGATGCATTGACGATTCCGGTTCGATGTCCCCCCCTGATCAGGCTCCCCTGTCAGTGGTGCATCCGAGGATCGTCGAGAGTGCATTCCGAGCACGCCGCCCTGAGGGCTATGCGTCTCGGGGCCGGCCTCGTGGTGTTTTTGTTGGCAGGACCAGTTCGAGGATGGGGCCTCTCGGGGCCAGTCGACGTTGCATCTTAGGAGCGTCGCCGGGGCCAGAGTGGTGCGTCCCAAGACCTCCCCAGGTGCATTCCACGTTGGCCAGCTCGCGGCTCAGGATCGTTCCTTGTGAAGTGGAGAGGCTTACAGAACTGAGGGCCCCCTGTGTGTTGTGTGTGTGTGATTATTGGGGCTGACTGGCGGAGGGTTTCCGATGGTCTTGGGACGTGTCAGTGGACTCTTCAAGGGACGTCTCAGGGGTTGTGCCGTGTCCGTGCCGACCATCATCTCCTGGAATAGTCTACGGACCCAGAGGGCTTGTAAGCATCATCCGTGGAGGTTAGCAGCCATCTCTGTTCGTGCAGCTGTAAGCAGCACCAGTCCGCACGCATTGTGGAACCTGCACCGCAGCGATGTCTATGGGAGAGTTCGAAGTTGTCAGCCAGGACGGGCTCTGGCTCGGCTTGAGGCTTGCGGCAGGCGCTGCTAAATGAGACCTCACTTTAGAGGCGGAACCCATCCTTGTCCGCTTAGCCTGCAGCGACGACATTGACGTGAAGCTCACGCAGGATCGAGTGTGGCTGCAGGTATCCGCTTGACGGCCAAATGTGGGGACGCCGCAATATATCCGTACCTATGAATCAGGAAGCCTGAGCTGAGGGTCCCCCTGACGAAGTCAGCGTATACATGCGGCTTATGCTGATGCGTTCCTTGATTCTGGCATGCTCAGTGGCGATGCGGAACTCGCAGCACCAACCCCCGGAAAAGGAGCTATACGTTCATTGGTTCTCTTCGAATTTGGAATGTGTTTCGGTGTTTGTGGGCGATAGGTTGAGACAAAGGGAAAGCGGAGAGTGGGACTGGACAGGAGGGACGGGAGGGAGAGGATGGATGGGGTACGGACAGGAATGTAGACAGTGGTCCGGGAGAAACCGTCTGAATGTTGTGAGGGATCCAGAGAGGTCACACATAGAGATTGGATGATGGTTGTGGCGATATACAGGTTGGGGCCACGAGGGGCAATAGGACAAGGATAGGGACAATTCATACGAAGTATTGGCATTGGTGAAGGCATGTGCGCAGGTTACGGCGAAGAGCCGTGGACGGACATTCAATGCAATGACCGCGGAACCAAACGAGTCTCGAGAGGTGACGTTTGTTGTGGTTGGACTTCCGCTCTACAGCGCGCTTCTTGCGAAGTTCACGCAGACAGCGGTCATAAGGCAAGCCTAGGGAGCGTGTTTTTCAACCTCCGTCATTGAAGCCCTGTGGTAGGAAGGGGATTGCAGGGGAGGGGAAGAGCATTGACAAGAGGGGTGAGGCGGAGTTGGAGAGAGTAGCGAGGAGGACATGGTAGTCGTAGGAGGGAGGGAAGGATGGGAAGGATGAAACAGACGATGGTGAGGGCCAGTGCGGCGACGATCAGGATGGCGAGGTCAAGAAGAGTAGAGGAGGATGAGGAGGAGGAGGAGGAGGAGGAGGAGGGGGAGGAGGCGGAGGAGGAGGAGGAGGAGGAGGAGGAGCAAGCGCGTCCGCAGCTGGCTGGGATGATGAGCGCGAAGGGATGAAGGAGGGGTATCAGGACGAGGGTAAAGCAGATGTTGAGGATTGGGATGAAGAGGGTTGGCAGGTTGGGGAGGTGGAGGAGGATCTGAGGGTGATATAGGAGGGATCCAGATCTGTCCCCTCCACCTTCTTCCTTCACTGCCGCCGTGTCGTCACGATGATGACGAGGGGGATCAGGAAGGGGAGGGGGGCGATGAGGGGAAACATCATCGTGAGCTCGCGAGTCCTGCATCTGCTTTCCACTCGGCGCTCGATGCACTTGAAAGCTGTGCAGCTATCAGCGGGAAGTGTTGGACGACACTGGCTCGGAACATCTAGCAATGAGTGGCTACCCTCTAGCCGGCGCTGGCCGAAGTCAGTGTGTGTCCAAAAGTCTGCGTTGTAATATATATATATATATATATGTGGTACAATATACGTTGTGCAATCTACGCTGTGCAGTATCTGTTGTGGTGCAATCCGTGTGGCGAAATCCACGCGACGCGATCTTTGACGTGTTGAATACATTTGGAACTATACGTGGCGCAGGTGGATTTGGCGAACGAGTTGACACAGCCCACGCTCTTGCAAACATCCCACCCACCCACCCGCCCGCGACTTGGTTTGTAAAACCCATGCGGTGGCGATTGCGATGCATGCTTGGCGTTGGCAGGTGTTTTTTTGCGGCTGCGCCACCCCTAGCACGCGCGCGCAGCGGCCAGCTTGTTTGACGCCACCGACGCGGCCGCGGCGGCGCTGACCGCTGGGCACAGCCCAACGCGCATTTATGTGCGAGTCGGCGACTTGGGCGGGTGCGGTATCATGGCAGCATTGACAACGGTAGACACGATGATGATAGTAGCGATGTTGGTGACGATGTTGACACCGACGATGGCGCGGCCAGTGCGGGCGCCGATGGTGCTCACGCCGACGACGATGACTGCGTCCTCACGTCGGCGATGAAGGTTTTGGAAAAGTTTGACACGCGCGTGCGGCCGACGCACGAGAGTGGCCCGCATGGTTGTATTTGACACGGATTGTGCCCCCCCCCCCCCCCCAGCTTGCGCGCAAGGGCGCGCGAATGATGTCGGCATGCGGCGCCAGAGGCCCGTTTGGCGGAATTCCATGTTATGTTGGAAAACCATGGTTTTCTTGAGAATGCGCAAGAGCGCGAGCGCGTTCTTTTTTTTGTAAAAAACGGACGTTGCGAAACCATGTGTATCGATCTGGCACTGTCCGTTTTCTGAACTGATTCCGGCACGCGCGCGCGACGACGCGCGCGCGTGCTCTTCGTCCGTTCTTTGCATCGCGACGGCGCGCGAGCAAGGGCGTTCGCGCGATTTCGACATGCGCGCGGAAAGAACAAGTGTTGCGAGACAGTGTGCTCTTGTATTATTATTGGACATCCGATTTTGAAATCCTTACGAAACCGAAAGTTTTGGAAGGGTTTCGGCCTCCTCGCGCGCGACGACGCGCGCGCGTGCACTTCGCCCCGCGGTTTGCAAGGGGCTCTTGAACGCTTATGATTTTGAAAAACGAGTGCGCTCGCACAGTATTTGTGGCAGAGGATGACGGGGAGTGCATGCCGGCCGGGCCGGGATAGTTCGAATTCATATGTCGGATAGACGATGGGACAGAATCGCGCGCACAGTGCAATGCGAAAAGACTAGCAAGGGGAATATATGTGGCGTAGTCGGTTTTTACAAACAAGCCGACGCCTTCCATACTCTTGCAAACGTCATCCCATCCACCCGCCTGCAACTTAGATTGCAGAGCCCACGCGGTGGCAATTGCGATGGGTGCTCGCTGTTGGCCGGTGCGTCTCTGCGACCACGCCAACCCAAACGCGCGCGCGCAGCGGCCAGCCAGTCTGGCGCGACCGACGCGGCCGCGGTGGCGCTGACCGCTGGGCCGGACACATCTCAGCGGGCATTTCAGTCCGAGTCGGTGATTTGGGTGGACGGAGTACCATGGCAACGTCGACAACGGTAGACGCGATGATGATCGTAGCGATGCTGGCGACTGCGGCGGCATCGACGACGGCGCAGCCAGTGCGGGCGCCGGTGCTGATTGCGCCGACGGCAATGGCGGCCTCTTCGCATCGGCGAAGAAGGTTGCGGAAAATGTTTGGCACGCGCGCGCGGCCGACGCGCGAGATTGGCCCGCGCGGTTGCAAGCACGCGCGCTACTGCGCGCGCATATTTTCGGCACGCTGCGCCATATGCCCGTTCCGCAGAATTCATGTTGAAGAAACCGTGTTTTCTTTAAGAGATCGCAAGAGTGCGAGCGCGCGCTGTCCTGAAACATAGTGCTGCTAAGCCGTGCGCGTGCACGCGCGCGCGTTGGACACTCGGTTTTGACATCGTTGCGAACCCTTGGGTTTACGAAGGATTTCGGCGCGCTCGCGCGAAGAAGCGCGCGCGTTCATTTCGTTTTTTGGTTTTCGAGGGATCCTCGCGACGGCGCGGGCGCGCGCAGGGGCGTTCGGGCGATTTCGAGATGCGCGAGCGCGATGTCCTTTTGGTAGCATTTTCAGCACATGATGCAAAACCTTATTTTTTCAAGAGGTCGCAAGCGGGCGTTCTTTCACAGGCCGCGCGGCGGAACCGCGTGTTCTCGCATGCTGAGTGGGCGCCCGATTTTGAAGTTCTTGAATCGTTTCGCTCATTCCGCCGGCCCGAATTATAGCATCGTTTGCGGTTGGGTGATTGGGGTTTTTTCGAGAACCTATATTAAATCAATGATCGGTGCTTCTTGGGGTTTTCTCGACGCGCTTCTCGGCGGCGTCTTGGAGGCGGCTGCGGCCGTCTGGAGGCCACCCGGGGCGTCAGCATTCTCGACGCGTAGAAGGCGCCACCCCTGGCGATCTCCAGCGCGTTGAAGGCGCGGCGACGGGCGGTTTTTGGCAGTTGTCGGGTTCCTGGGATCACGACAGTCAAACAGTAAAGACGGAATGCCAGTCTTCCGGGGGGGGGATCCATGATCCGCGCCACGAAACATTCGCGACGTCGCAGGTTAGGGGCTTATCATCGTCAATTGGCGCGCGCCTTCCCCCTCCTCCTCCTGGGCCTGTTCCATCCCCCCCTTCTTCCTCCCCGGCCCCTGGCCCCGCGGTCTTCTCATTCCTGTTCTCAGCCGCCTCGCCCGTCTCCGCCCCTTCCATCGGCGCCCTCAATGGGCCGGCTCATAGTTCGCATCTCGGAGGCTGCTGGCGCGCTGCGGTTCGACCGACAGTCGAGCAGGGGCGGCAGGACGTAGCTGAAATGCGCAGTTGTCCTCGGCGCGCCCCGCTTACTCGGCCTCTGCCGGGGCTCTGGGATGCATCTTTGAAGCTAGGGCCGAGAGTCGTGCGGGAGTGGGCCGGGGCGTAGCTGGAGTATCCAGTTTGTTTCGGCGTATCCCGTCAGGTTGGCCTTTGTTGGACCCCCGGGGCGCGGTTCTGAAGCTTCGACCGAAAGTCGGGCGGGGGCGGGCCGGGGCGCAGCTGAAATATGCAGGTCGGGCGGGGGCGGGCCGGGGCGCAGCTGAAATGCGCAGTTGTCTTCGGCGCGCCCCGGAAGGTTGGCCTCTGCAGGGCCTCTGGGATGCAGGTTTGAGGCTTCAAGAAGCGTCTAGGAGGCACTTCCTTCGGAGCCTCTGGGGGCCTTTTGGGGCCGTCTGGAGGTTTCTTGGAACAGGTGTTCTAATTCCCTGGGGCGTCTTGCAGTGTCTGCGGGGCTCCTTCGCTTTGGTGGCCTCTTGAGGGCCTTTTGGAGGCCTTTGGCAGCGTCTTGGGTGCCTCTGGGGCCTGTTTGAGAGCCCTTGGGCCCTTGGGGAGTTCTTGGGGCAGGGGGCGGAGGTCGTTGATTGCGGCTCCTCCCTCCGGGGCCGCGACCCCCGTGAGGGGTGTCGAAAAATGGCCCGGGGGGCCTGGCCGGGACTTGGCCAGGGCGTTTTCGCCCGGGTGCCCCCGGGGGCCGCCCCGCGCGCGCGAATTGGAAATGCGGTCAATCAGGCGCCGGAGATCTTAGCGCGCCTCTGGCCCGGGGCCGGCGAATTGCGAAACCGTTTTGTCTCCGGATTCCGGTGTGCCCGCCATGCCCGCGCGACGACGCGCGCGTCTGCGCTGAGTATCATGCATTGCAGGGCGCTTGTGAAAGCTGATCGTCATTGACGAACGAGCGCGCGCGCATCGTAGTTTTCTGCGGGGGATGAGGGGGGGGCCGGCTCGGCTGGGATGGTATGAGTTCATATCTAGGATGGGCGATGGGGCACAATCGCTTGTAAATTGAACATCCCCAGGGGGCGCCGACAAGTCCAGCCTCGGGGGGGTGGAGCATGAATGCATGTTCGCAGTGGGCTGCTCACTCCACTCGTCGCGACATCGCTCCGCCCGCCCGCCCGCAATTTGGTTTGCAAAAACAATGCGTCGGCGGTTGCGATGGATGCTTGGAGTTGGCTGGCGCTCGCTCGCGCGCGGCCGCGATGGCCAACGCGCGCGCGGCGGCCAAATAGTTCGGCGCGACCAACGCGGCCGCGGTGGCGCTGACCGCCGGGCCTTTCCCAGCGGCCGCGTCGGTGCGAGTGGGCGGATTGGGCGGGCGCAGCGACGACGATGATAGTTGCGGCGCCGACGACGACGGCGGCGAGGCCAGCGGCGACGCCATGCGGCGAGGAAGGTCGCGCAGGGATCTCGACA